ATATATATATATATATATGTACATATATATATATATGTGCATACATACATGCTTACATACATACACACACACACACACACACATATATATATATATATATATATATATGTATTATATTCTATATATATATACACACACATATATATATATGTATATATATACATACATACATATATATGTATATATACATATACATACATACATACATATATATATATATATATATATATATATGTATATATATATATGACACACCCACATAGACACAGACACAGACACAGACACAGACACAGACATATATATATATAAATATATATATATGTGATAACCCACACTCACCGGAGCGCGTAACTGTAATCGCTGGTGTAGCACTTCCTGGTTGTCGCATGTGGCGCGTGTGAGTGTGGGTTGACTGGGCTGGATATCTCTGGCAAAGCACTTGTAGGCTTTCACCTGAGCTCGTAATTGGCTCTGTTGCGCATGTGTTAAGCCTGTAGTCTCAATGACATGTTCTGTTCCGTCAGTATCACGGGATTGTTCATTAGTATCCTGAACCCCAATTATTGGTACATCAGTAACCACCTCCTGTGTAATACTTGCATGCGTATGCGATGCATCCGCTCTCGTTGTCTTTGCTGTGGCGGTGTTTGCCGAGTGTGACGTGTGTGTAGTGGGCATATGCGTACCATCCACAAATGGTTGTATGCTGCTACCTATAGTACGGTGCATATTAGGCACAATACCTTCGTCTAGAATGGGTGGTTGCATACTGTCCGTCACTGAATCCATACTGGTCTTTATCTGTAGACCACCAACAGTGCTGTTCTAATTACCAACCCTAGTTAAGGGTACAAAGGCTAGGAGTAAATAAGTAGCGAAAGTTATTGTTGATGTCAGGGTATTATATATATAACCCTTCTCTAATAAGAATCATTAGAAACTCAACCCGACGTGAGGAATCAAAGGTTAGTAATTTGTTGAGTGATACTTGCAGTCACCACAGTCACCACAGTTGCCAAGCGTATAACTGTCGGCGGTCTTTGCGTGGGCAATCTATATAGTGCTATCAACCTTTACGAACAAGCCCTTCTACCACATACACAGCGATGTCTGAGGATATAAGTGGCCCATGAATAATATGGCTATATATATATATATTCACTCAATGTATGCACCTTACTATAATATGGAGTGTCTGTGATAAAATTCACCCAAGTAGTTACGTGTCGTTTTAACACCGGGCGGCAGTGCCCCACTGTTTCAATCTAATGGTATTTATGATGTGAAGGATTGCGCGCCTTTTCTTCTGCCAGAGCAGACTGTGACACTCGCCGATGGGAGTCTAATAGATAATATTTAGAACGTATTTATTCGACATGTCGCAATATATCAATAGGAAGGGGCATGATAGTTTAAAACAGACAAGTGTTTAGAATAGTTTACCACATTTTGGCGGGCTCTCTGCATGACTGTGTCATCACTTCTTCATCATGACGCGCGCCAGCGACTGGCGACTGGCGTGCCGCATAAATATGTAAATATGTAAGCCGTTATGCACAGCTTTTATCAATATATACTCGCGTATGTATGATATATATCACATGCATAGATACATATAGATTGTGTAAGTATTGATCGTTCATCATCACAGTCAAGATGCAGTACTTGAATTGCACTTAGAGTCCAGCAACTCCACGACAAGATCTTACTCACCATGTCGTATGATGTCCAAAGCGTGTGCGATATCCTGGGCATCAGCGCTCTGCAAGCACAAGTGCTAGTCGAGGCTCACACGGGAAATATAGATCGGGCCGTATGTGCTTATCTAGATAAGACTATAGTGCTTGGCGACGATCATATACCAGAAAGTTTGGTTCCCTTACAGCAACTGAGACTTGCAAATGTAGCTGATGCAACTATTGTGTCACCGGACGAGGCCAAAGATGCCCGCACCAGTGCTGGCGACGTAGGTGACTGTAATGTAATAGCAGCGAACCCAGAGACCGTGAACAGGGATACGACACAACATAGCGCTCCGAATCCCAATACTTATTCTTGTAAACCACCGGAAGTGAATGCACAGTCGGCAGGTGTGACTAATCTGAAAGAATCTCACGCCAATGTATTTGATCATATTGTCCCACAAACGGGTACGACAGAGCATATTGAGACCTCAGGAGATTGCAGCAGGACGCACACTGGTGAATTAGATACGAGTGATGATAAGCATGTAGATCCAAGCATATTTGCAGATCCGCAGGATCCAGAGTTGGATTTAGACTACCCATGTAGCGCTGACACAAAGCTAGATTCAGACGCCGCCATTGCAAACACAGTGGGAAAGGATGTTTTAGATACGCACCTACACAGTGAGCGAAATAGGCTTATGGACGAACACGCATCCCTGCAATGCCGTATGGCTTCCGACAATTTACAGAAGTCAGTAATGACAACACCAATGGTCAAATCACTCGATCGATCGACTGGCAGTAAACCTACCAGGAACCTTTTCTCTGATACACCGAGCAACAAGGTATGTTGAGTTATATGCAGGTGTGGCTGCGGCCACGTAGTCGGCTTGGAGCATGTGTCTACTTGCTTGCCCACTGTGACCTACCTCATTTTGAGTTATGCTATCTTGCACGCTCCAAGTTATCGATACGGATGTGTTGTCGTGCTCTGAGTAGACGCACACGCGTAGATATCTCTGTGAATGTGTACGATCGTTTCGAATTCTGTCTGGCTATGATGTGTGATTGGTACAGCTATGCTTTCGAGGGTAACTGGATCCTGGTTATGCACAAATTTATGGCCTGTGCAGTTACTAATAAACTTATGTATATTGCAGTTACGTCCGAGCTTGTCTCTGCTAGGTATCGGGCTAAACCCTAAACCCTATAGGTTTTGTATACGTGCACCTCACCTCAAAACGCAGGTCTTGCGACTCAGCGGAGAGCACAAACATTTATACATATGCTCTATCGAGCTTGTAGGATTCTCCCTGTTACATACCCATTGATTTTAGCACAAAACACTCTATCGGAACCACTAGCTAACTCATTGACTGACAGACGCAAACATAATATGGCCCTGCATTTGTCAGCGTAAGCGCCGGCAGGCGTCCATGGACGAATTCAGCAACAGCAGTCACGCTCTGGCAAGGAAACGGCCCACGCTCGCTGAGGTTGCCAGCCAGGTACATAGAGGCCTGCTTTTACGTGTGCGTAGGTAGTTCAAAGACTGAGGTTTCAAGTGTGTAGTTCAAGTGCGATTAGCATACATGTATATTCCAATATTGTGTAGCATGTATATTCCAATATTGTGTAGCATGTATGTGGAGTTTAATTGTGCAATGGAAGTGTGTGTAGACGTAGCCATGCTCACTTCGTGTCTGTAGAAGGGAAGGGGATGACGCTCAGCTCTTCCTAGCGCATTTGTCACACAACGGCTGGTCCATGGATATATAGGAGGGTGTTGTGTAATCGACTTTCCTATTGGTTAATCATCCACTATGTGCATCCGCCAAGCACTGCTAGTGGGTGCTGTACCTGTTTACCCGCAGTATTTCTATATAAGGCAGTATGGACTGCCAAAGACTCTGACGCAAACATAGTCGAGTCGCTTACGAGATCTCTTCAATTTAGTAAGAGTCAGTTGTCGTGTACGGGACTGGCTTGAACAGTGCATGTGCTGCAACATACCCACGCAATACCTATGATCCACCTGAACTTTGCGCCAGTTTTCGGGTTAGGTATACAGATGCAATAGGACTATCACTGGCCACAATCGTAGCACGATTCTTATGATATCTTCCGTCTGATTTCATGATGAGATATTACTATCCTCCATATAAGATCTCAATCCCAAGTCCTTTACTCAGTCAGCAGTCAGTCATGCACTACGCCACTCTCCTCTAATACTTGTGACAATCTCCACCTATCTTGCTCCTACACCTTGCTTGCTATTCACGTGCGCGCTATCAATGTACTGACACAAGGGCACCCCACCCCACTCTTAGTTCTGCATGCCACGCATTCGGATGAAGAAAGGCTTCGACACCTATGAGGTCTTCAAGGGGAACAAGATGGTCAACATTCCTCTCCGCGAATTCACACGCCGCACACCCACAAGTGCTGTGGAAGGGCTGTTGCCTCAGGTGTGTTGGTCTGTAGGTGCATGTTAACGAGTGTGTCGTTGTTCCAGTTAATAGTCTTTTTGTATGTGCTGTGTAAGTGCTGTTGCCTCGGGTGTGTTGGTCTGTAGATGCATGTTCACGAGTGTGTCGTTGTTTCATTCTATCGTCTTTTTGTATGTGCTGTGGAAGAGGTGCTGTCTCACATGTGTTGGCCTGTTGCATGATTGCATGTGACTTGAGGAGTGGTGAAGGGTTCCCCAATACGCCAATAGATACACCACTTACGCCGCTTACGTAGACGATTTCATATCTTACGTAGAGGACTTTAAACTTACGTGCCCGATTTTATATCCTATGTAGACGACTTTATATCTTACGTCGACTTTATATGTTTCGTACACGACCTTATATCTACGTAGACGACCTTATATCTTACGTAGACGACTTTATATCTTACGTAGACGACTTAATATGTCACGCAGACGACTTTATATGTTACGTAGACGACTTTATATAATACGGAGACGACTTTATATGTTACGTAGACGACTTTATATCTTATGTAGACGACTTTATGTTTCGTAGACGACTTTATATCCTACGTAGACGACTTTATATGTTACGTAGACGACTTTATATGTTACGTAGACGACTTTATATGTTACGTAGACGACTTTATATGTTACGTAGACGACTTTATAT